CAAAGGGACTTGGTAGCCTTATCTGGTAACTATCAGCTTCCTTTTAGCTATGTACATCTTTGGATGGCTCTCTTCCCATTTTTCTTTCATAAGCAGGGAGGGCAAATTTGAACTTAGAATTCATTCCAACATTATTAAGAAGAGAATACCTCTCGAATATATAAGAGCTAGTTGGTAAGCTGACTCTTAATTGTACGAAATAAGAGTAGACTAAACAACCTCATACCAAAGCCTTCTGGTTTGGCCAGTTAATTTCGATTGTCGATTTGAATCCCCTGGCTAGTTTAACGGGGATTTTGGTTTTGAAATGAGAAAAGAGCCTTAAAAAACTGAATGGCCTTCGTTTTGATTCATATGTAAGCTAGGTAAAAACAAAAGGAACAACGACTTAATGAAATGTTATCTCGCTTATGTTGTTATATGACTTGATGACAAGTTAGATACTCACTTTTGACATATTGAGGGAATGAACTCTTATTTGAATGTGCGGTGCTAGATTGAGAACACAATTAACAGCATGTAACACCAACAATATTGTTTATAGACGAATTCCCTTGATTTCTCAACTAAATGTGTTTGTTTGACATGATATGGCAGGAGCTCACACAATTGGGCAAGCAAGGTGTACAACTTTCAGAGCTCGCATATATAACGAGACCAACATTGATGCTTCATTTGCCAGGACCAGGCAAAACACATGTCCAAGAACAGCTGGCCATGGAGACGACAACCTTGCACCTTTGGACATCACTACTCCTAACACTTTCGACACTGCCTACTTCAAGAACCTTGTCAACCAAAAGGGTCTCCTCCACAGTGATCAAATTTTGTTTAATGGTGGACCAACTGATTCATTGGTTAAATCGTACAGCGGCAGTGCTAACACCTTCAATGCTGACTTTGCCAAGGCAATGATCAATATGGGAGATAACAAGCCACTCACTGGATCTAAAGGCGAGATTAGATTGAACTGCAGGAAGCCTAATTAGTCGACAAAAGTAGGTCCTTCCTCTATGATAGAATAAACCAAAAACCCCAGAAGTTGGGAGAATTATAATATGCTTGTGATGGTCTAAGTTATAGTTTGTTTTACTTGGGAACATTTTGTTTGTTGAGTGAGAGTTTATTAGGTATTGTTTGTTATTATTGCAACGAATAAAGTATGTTTTATCTCAAAGAATTCAAATTATAGGCATTTACCTGATATTAATTGTTGATGGATTGTTTACTTCAATTGAACAAAGTGAATGGTGATGAACAATCCAATTTCCCGGTGCTTTGTAATAATGTGAAATTCTTAATCGAACATCTTAAATATAACAAGCATCATTGTATGTAGTTTAGAATTTAACGATATTTTTCTTCACTTATAAATAGTAAATTTCAAGTTTCACTCTTATAAGTCAAGTTTGATGTGAGTCAGCTCAAATTTCGAGCCCTAATATTGTGTACTTAATTAGTTATTAAATACATCCAAAAAAAATTACACTACATTGGCCCAACTCCGTTTAGCCTCGTTTCATTATTGCGGCAATAATATTTGCTTAACTTGTCAAAGCCCACTACAGAAGTCATGATCAGGTTTGTTAGCGATGTCGTACCAACCATTACAATTTTTCAGCTACACGAAACAAGGAATTTTCTCTAGTACACATCAAAAGCGGAGAGTTACACATCCAAATAAGAGCGGTTAGATCATGTGCAATAGAAAAAGTTTAAAAAATATTGCCACGTAATATTATTATTTTACTTAAATTATATTAATATGTGTATATATATACACTTTTTGCTAAAATATTCTAAAAGTGGGACACATGATTTCAATACCATACATATGTATGTTTATTAAACATTTTAGAATTTGAGTTTATTTTGAAAGCTGCTATTTAAGATCCAACAAAAAGTTTCCACAATGTCTAATGTGATTCACATACTTGATCACTGTAGCTATTTCTTTTCATATATGTTCGTTGTCATGCAAACAGTGTAGCTCATCGCTTTACTGGACTGGCTGTTTACTCTCGTGGAGTTCGTACCAGGTTGGAACCTGCTAATTAATGTCATTAGTGAGATTTGTTGTTGGAGAAGTTTCTTTGTTGTAATCTGTTTCCTTTTTTTGGCTTTGAAATGAAATTATGCGGCATTTGATTTAATATATATATATATATATATAAAGGATATTTCTGATTTTTTTTTTAATTTTGTTTTGTATTTATTTGTTGATTATATTAGTAGAATAGCCCATGTGAAAGTTTTGTTAGCATAAACTGCATGTTTCAAATTGCTCACATGTCTTGAGAAATAAATTGGGAATGCATGTGAGCTGAATAAATTTAATTTGCAACATGGTTTCTTATCAAATCTTGTGTGGTTAAAGTATTTAGTAGCTCCTGATCTCATGTTCAATTTATTGTATCTAGGAACCTCATAAAAGATTGACGTTCACATCCAACTAATTAGAAGTAGTCAAAGCTATAATGCAGCATGTTAATCAGCACAATTATTTATTCTGTCACTGTTGAAGGAAATGTGAATGTGATTATACTATTAATTAAATTTGTGATGGTACTGTAGTAGCTTAAATTAATTAGATTGAATATATCTAGTTGCCCTCTTGTTCGAACCAAAAGAAGTAAATTGGAGTCATATGGCGAACAATTTTTTTGTGGAGAGACAATTTGATCATGTCCATAATTTCGTATTGATCATATAACTCTGTTTAAATTTGGTTTGTTTAATTTTATTTTGAGCTTAAGCTATTTTTGAATTGCTTTTTAATTATATGAGTCGAGCTTGAGCGAACTTAAAATGTATAAGCTTGATACAGAACTCAAGTCGTTTTGAGTATACAATAAATTATTTTGGTCCGCTCTTAAAACAAAACTTTGCAAGTAGATTTCATACCAGAATATATTCAACATAAAGCATATAACACAAAATCTTCAAACATAATACTTTAAGACAGCCACATAAACGTCTTTTTTATGATTGGAACGCTATGGGAGTTTATGCATCACGCATGAAGGTTATTTAGAACAAAAGAAAATAGGGAACATAATATCATTCTCCATATCTAGTATAAAAAATTAAATGTGAAGATAGTCAATCTAAATTTAGGAAAAAATGTAAACATGATTCTTTAAAAGCAAAATCTCAAGCATAATGATCTGCCTAGGAAAAAAGATGAGCTGCTATGTACCAAACTTTGCGAGCCGAATATACAATGTTTAAACTTGACTTGTTTCTTATCGGTATTGAACATAAACTTGACTTATTCACACACCAAGTTTCAACAAATCAAATTAACACGACCCGAATTGCTACAAACTCAATCTATTTTGGGCCGATTTACTGTCCTAGCAATGCAACCTATAAATTAATGAGGATCCAATTCCATCAAAACCCACTAGATTTCTGCCAATTTTGTTGATCTCTAATGTGTCTTTTCCAATATTTAATTTTTAATTTGTTTGCGTATTATAATACATAAACTGACGCCTCTCCCAGATCAGTTTAAGTTCCACACGCCAAGGAAACTCTAATTCAATATATGTACTACGCGTCATTATCACAATTTTATCGGCATGGATCACCCAAATCTTATTTAAGGAAAAGGGCCATTCTATTGACACTCCAAGGCATGTCAATACATCGATATAACGTCACAAAATTGGTCTGCAGCACGCCACCGATGGGTAAAAAAATATAAGAGTCCCATATAACACCTGTGTGATTGTTCACTATAATATTTGCCCTCCACCATCAAACATACAGTTATCTGTAGAAGAGAAATATGAAAGAATTCCTACTATAATTAAAAATAAAAGAATGCTTAATAAAATATTATCTTTAAATGAGTTTAAATTTATGTAGTAAAGAGCAATCGAAAGCTATACCAATATAAAGGAAGAAAAGATAAGGGTACTATAACATGTTAGAGTTTTGGTCGATCAAATATAAAAACCCTAACACCTTTTGTCTCCCTCGAATAACATGTGGTACTCTTTAAGAAGGTTTCAGGTTCATCTTTCACTGGCACAGACTAACATGCATGTGTACTGTGAAGACATGGCTAGCTAATTAAAGTTAAAGTCAGAGCCCGCGTATTCCCACACGTGCAATTAACAACTTCTTCCAGATTGTCTGCACCTGTGGCAACCCTACCGGAAAATGCATACCTACCAAAACCCATTACGTTGCACATGCAGTGCGATTCTAAGACCTGATTTGGTACTGAGGTGATTCTGAAAAAAGCTGGTATCAAAAAAAGCTGGGAGCTGTTTTTGTGTTTGGTAAACATTCAGCTTCAGCTTTTTTTCACAGTTTTGGGTGAAAAAAAAGTCAAAAACAAGAAGCTGCAAAACCCAGCTTTGAAAAATCGGCTTTTTTTTCACATTTGTTTTACATAAAAGTTTACCAAACACTATAATACTGTTTTTTTTTCAAAAACACTTTTAAAAAAAAATTTACCAAACACTCTGCTACTTTATTTCACAGCTGCTTATTCTCACAGCACAGCAGAATCAGTTTTTTTTCAAAGCACAGCAATACTGAACCAGCCCTAAGACTTCTCTTTGTCTAGTTTCAGATCACTACTGCATTTTAGATTTCAAAATCTGTTGTGCCTTTAACTTCTTCCAAAAGATCATGAGAAAGCATATTGGTCAAGTCTGGCAGGGAGCCTTTCCAAAAACCCTAATGCATCTTTGGTCAAAAACCCTTTTGTAAATTGGCCAGGTTCAGACGGAGTAAAAATTACAACAGAATATATATATATATATATATATATATATATATGAGAGATTGAAATGTGGTTAATATTTAGAGGCCAAAAAACCATGTGAAAAACAAACCTTGTTAATTAAGGCATAGAGGTAACTTGAAAAACTTGGAGAACTACTCACAACAGGATGGGGATTGGAGTAATTGTTGTAATTAGACTCCAAGTTTATGTTTTTAACTTCTTATGTAATCTTAATGTGTGACTTCTCAATCATAAGTAAAGGGAAACTATATCAACCCCCATACATTCAGATAAAACTAATTCTGTTGATCAATCAAACATGATAAGCAATAGAAATCAAACAAAGAAAAAGGGGCTAATAAAACACTATATATCATTTTAATCAAAATACGGAACATTTTTGCTTGAGATGGAGCTATAGCCTGTCGTGTTTGTGGATGGATTGTATAAAGAAGAAGCTGAAGACGAAGACGATGAAGAAAAAACAACTGAAGACGGAGCTGCTACTGGTGGTAGTGGCGGTGGCGGTGGTGGAGAAATCGCTTGTGGTTGCGCAGCAATGGACACCATCCCAGAATTAGAAACCAAAGCTGCATGGTGAATAATACCCCTAGGAGAAACGATACTGGGACTAGTGGCCTCTTTGAATTTGTGTCTCAATATCTGAGTCCTTACTGCGTTGAGTTCAGCTTGTAGAGATTGAATTTGTTGCTGCAAGGCTGAAATTACACCCATGCACCCATACACTGGGTCTCTCAGCCTCAGATTTGCTTCATAAACTAGACTATTGGCTGCATCAGCTCTTTGATTCTCAGCCACTTCCTATTAAAAAAAAAAAAACAGAAATTAAGTAGTTCATATAAAATTAGAGTACTTATTCCTAAAAAACTAATTAATTAGTACCAATAGCATCTTGGAAACATTGCTTGCACCAAAGACTTTGTGAACAGCTGAAAATTTCTGGGGTTCATGTGGAGAGAAGTAAGGAGAGAAAGGGCACTCTTCAGCACATCTTCTTCTCAAGAGCTTACACGCAGCACAAGGTGTGATTGTGTTCAAAGTTGTTGTACTCATCATCATCATCCCTTGATGAGGAACACCAAACGATGATGACGAAATTCGAGTAGTGCCCATGATTCCCATTTCAACAACAGATGCATCACTTTCTCTCCTGATCTTCTTTCCTATCTCATCGAAGGTTGTGATCTCCCTATAAAACAACAAGAAATTAGTTAGGTGAAATCTATTTAAGGCTTTGAAAAGAAAAAGCAAACCAACCAAAATAAAAAGAATATTGATAAGGACCTTCCTATGGACATATATTCAGTTATATATTGTCCGAATGAAGTTGGGAGCAAAGAGAGGAAAGGAGAGAAGGAGAAAGAAAAGAAAGTTTGAGAATGGGGGAAGAGAGTGCTTATAAGGCAAGGCAAGTTGGGAAGCACAGTAGCCAGTAGGTCAATGTTTATGAAAAGAAACAAACAAAAGGGCATGAGAAAATGGTTGAAGAATCTGATATTATATTCTCCAGCTCGGTGAGATATAGAAAGCATCCAAAGGATTTGGTAATGATTTTATTTTTCCTCTATTGTCATGAGAGTAAAGTCTCTCTTTTGCAATAGGCTGCCACTATAGCATTTGTGTACGATGTGCTATAATTATTCATATTCTAATAAACCCAAATTATCATATCCCATCACATAACTTGAATTTTTAGGATGCTAATTATATTCCTTGTGTTACAGTTAAAAAAAAATAAATTCATTTCTGTATAGTTATAGCCAGGTGCCTCAACTTAGAACTTGTTTCTCCAAATCATCTTTCATGCTTAAAAAAATTAAAAAATAAAAAATAAAAAAAAACCTTCTATACAGTTATAGCTAGGTGCCTCAACTTAGAACTTGTTCCTCCAAATCATCCTTCATGCATGTGTCAGAAGAGTTCAGTGATGCTCATCTAATAAGGTTCTCATTTTGAGAAACTGTGAGGACCTCTTTAATATAAATCTAAGGGTAGATAAACTTATAAGTCTAACATATTCCCATTATACCTAAACACAATATTGCCCAGGATTTGATGTCCCATGCACACGAGTCGGTATTGCTAATATTTTCTCATTTTGAGAAACCGTGAGGACCTCTTTCATATAAACCTAAGGGTAAATAAATTTATAAATCTAACGTATTCCCATTATACCTAAACACAATATAGCCTGGGATTTGATGTCCCACACACATGAGTCGGTATTGCCAATATCTTCCCCACTTTAGCCACCCAGGAGAAATGGGTATGAGGTTTTACCAAAAAGCATCAACAATATGCGTGTGTGGTACCATTGCTTATAAAGCACTGGATATCCCCCCACTTTAGCCACTCGGGAGAAATAGGTATGAGGTTTTACCAAAAAGCCTCAACAATATGTGTGTGTGGTACCATTGCTTATAAATCACTAGATAGCTCTCCTTCTAGCTGATGTGGGACACTAAAGTGGCTCTCAGCAATCAAACTCCGAAAATCTCCACCTTGGCGAGATTCGAGCCATCACCAAGTTGACATCTCACGATCCAAATACAAATAGAGCTCGACTTTGACCACATGCAACCAAATTCCAAATGAGCTCTTCAACTTCAACAATCGTGAGAGTCACCAATCTCAAGCAGTATATGGGCTCTGATATGAATTGTTGTGCAAAAGCACACCAATGGGTCCCACACACACGAGTCAATATTACGATATCCACCCCACTTTAGCCACCCGGGAGAAACGAGTATGGGTTTTACCTAAAAGCCTCAGCAATATATGTGTGGTACCATTACTTATAAAGCACTAGATAGCTCTCTCTCTAGTTGATGTGGTATACAAATGTGTCTCTAATCTCACCCACCAAACTCCAACAAATCTTAGATCTATGGGTCCATTTTTTGTTTGTTTCCTACACTTGTGTACTGGAATTGTTGGCTTGTAGCTAGATTCATATCAAGTTTGCTTTTGAATTTTAATCCGGGTTCGATCAATTTACAAAAGAGGAAGTATCAATTCGGATTGTTGGTTCTATTCAAATGTGTCTCTAACCACACCGTCATGCAAGGACTCAACTCATTTTCACCGTTGTGGTAAAGGACCACTTGCCTTTTTATTTTTTTATTGATTCGAATTTTGTTTAGGTGTAATAAGAAGAATTTAAGCTAATAAGCCTAGCTACCTTCAGATCCAAGGGGTTATATGAAAGAGATCTGATAGGGCTTTTTATACCTGCAAAAGTAGAGATAAAAATACTTAAAACACACTTGCAAGAGTACAAGGTTATCGTAGTATAGTAGCTCAAGTAAGGTCGTTCTTCACAGGGATTGAATTAATAATTTATATAAATACCAAATCTTAATTAATTATTTGAAAACAAAGTTTGGAAGAGGTTGATTTTATGACCTAAAATATTAAAAACGAATTTAATTAAAAAGAATTAAATAAATTGGGAAAGTAAAGAAAACAAAAGAAAATAGTTTGAAAATCTATTTAAGCACTAGGGTTTCACCGTCATCTTAACAATTATACGTAGTTCTTCCAATTACTTATGACTTACACATGCATATTTTGAAGGTTAGGTTTTCCTAAAGTATGCCTTACTTGGAATCTCCAACATAGAACGTATATCTAACATGCAACCCGTCTGTGGCATCCAGATTAAATGTGAACATGTAAGACTCATTAAATTTTGTGAAAACCTTTTGAAAAACCATATAACTCTTAAGACGTGCACATATTAACCACAAGAAGTCTTAGTCAATTTTAGGTGCAGCCCTCCGCCAAATTTGCATCAAATGACTTTTCTAAATATCTGGTGGCCAATCATCAAGACAATTAGATAGTTTTAAATATGGTGATTAACAATTCAAAACTTGCATGCATAATATCATAAGTAAATTGAAAAGAAACTACATATTATTGCTAAGGCTCGTGGCCTTGCCCTTGCAAACGAAACTAGTTACGAACAACCATAAAACAAAAGAAATTTTATTGAAATAGAAAAAAAGATAAAAACAACTTGAAATGCAAATTGTCAAAAGCTCCAAAGTAGTGCGTCGCTAAATTTTATGTGTTCTCCTCCCCCTTCTCTCATGGCTAAAAAACCTTATTTATACTACTACAAAATAAAATCCTACCTAGAAAAGGTCTTCTAAAAACTAGGAAATAAAAGGTTTCCCAATTGAACTAAAATTCGGACTTCTCAGAAAATCAGACTTTTGACAAACTAAATCAACTCCGATTTGGCCCCAAAAGGTTTATTTTGAAATCTAAAGACGTCCCCTACAAATCCTCATAATGAATCTTCTTCAAGATATGCCATTTTAACCTTCAAAATGCCCAAAATGAGAAACATCAATCTAGGAAAGCTGCATGCTAGGTCTTTATTTCATTGCTACAGTCAAAAGTCTTGGTAGAAAAATCTAGAATTTTGACACGAATATCTTGAAAGACTCATGAACATCATCCAATTAGAATCACTCAAAAATTCATCCATTTGGTCACTTTTTTCTCTAGAGGAAATCGAATGTCCTACATTAAGAATATAAATCAAAGTATCAATATTCTACCAAAATAACGAATAAATTAATACTAAGATAATGGTAAAATATATAGTATAATATGGACTCATCAAGATCATCACAAGTCCTTTTTTGAGGACCTTAGGTAATCTTTAGAAGAGTTTAAGGTCTTTGGTTAATTAAGGAAGCCCTCAAGGAAAGATACATGTATTAACAGTAAGCTATGAATTGCAATAAAAGGAGAAGAATGAAAAGAAGAACAATGACAGAATGTTTAGAGAGGAAATGAATGACCAAAGATTGCATTACTCGAATGAATTACAGAGAAAATGAAGTCAGTATTTATACTTCTATCATTTGCTTCAAAGATAAGCAACTGACTAACTAACTTCCTTATATTTTTACAATCTTAACATACACCCCAACTGCCTTGCTGATGTCTCACCTAACTACCTTGCTGATGTGTCACTTAACTGCCTTGCTGATGTGTAAAAATTCATGTTGACATGTATCCAAAACAATGCTAATATGTATATATCAGTTAACATCCCCCTTCAATCTCAACTGGGTTCCTAAGTTTGAGATTGTAGGAATGCTTCAAGAAAGAAGGAATAAGTAATCCCTTTGTTAATATATCTGCAGTTTATTCATCCGTAGGCAAATATTAGACATGAAGATCACCATTTTGAACCCTTTCTCGGACAAAGTGATAGTCCGTGTCGAGGTGCTTAATCCTGGAATGAAAAACTGGATTTGCAATCAGAGCAATGGTAGACTTATTATCACAATATATCATAGGTGGAAAGGGTATCACAACAGCCATATCTTTCAAAATGTTTCTTATCCATGCTACATCAGTTGTAGTATGAGCTAATACTTTATACTCAACTTCTGTAGAGCTTTTTGAAACTAAATTCTGCTTCTTCGATTACCAAGAGACTAGATTGTTGCCAATGTAAACTACCTAACCTGTGACTGACCTCCTGGTGTTCAAATTTGCAGCCCAATTAGAATCACTAAATGTAGTAGTTCCTACTTCTGTATCAGCTAAGAATGCTACACAATTTTGAATAGTTCCTTTTAGAAACCTCAAAATCCTTTTAACTGCCCCAAAATGTACTTCTGTGGGAGCAGCCATGAATTGACACTCAAAGTTGACTACATATGCAATATTTGGCCTTGTAAAGGTTAAATATTGCAAGGAGCCAACAATGCTGCTATACAAGCTTGGATCAGTCAACAAAGTGCCTTCAGTGACCAATAAAGGATCATGAGGCTTGCATGGTGTATATGTTGGTTTGTAGGACTCCATACCAGCTTTATGCAACAAGTCCTTTATGTACTTGGATTGATTGACACATATAACCCCATTCGATTTATAGTTTACTTGCAAACCAAGAAAGTAAGTGGGCTTACCCATATCTTTAAGCTTAAAAACTTCAGATAACTCTGTGATAACACTTTGTACTTTGCAAGAATTAGATCCATTAAGTATAATGTCATCTACATACAACAATAGAATGACAACATCCTCATCAATATGTTGAACAAATAAACTTGAATCAGAAGTAGATGCTTTAAACCCCATTGTAGGTAAGTAACTTGTGAACTTAGAGTTCCAAGCTCTTGGAGCTTGCTTAAGACCATACAATGACTCCATTAACTTGCATACATAAGATGGCTTAGCCATATCCACAAATCCCTGAGGTTGTTTCATGTAAATCTCCTTTTGTCGATCACCATGCAAGAAGGCATTTTTGATGTCTAACTGCCTTAACTCCCAATGATTAATTGTAGCCAATGCTAGTAATATTCTCATTGTCGTGTGTCTCACAACAAGATTGAAAGTTTTTGAGTAATCTACACCTTGTTCTTGTGAAAAACCTTATGCAACCAACTTAGCTTTATACCTTGATATAGACCTATCAGGGTTTTTTTTTTAAGTTTCTATACCCATTTGCTGCTAATAATGGATATATCATCTGGAGGTGGTACTAGTTCCCCAGATCCTTAAGCCTGAAGAGAGTCATACTTATTTTGCATTGCACTTTGCCATTTTGGTATAGTAACAGCCTTCCTGAAGGTTGTTGGTCCTGCAGAATCACTATTACTCACAAGGAAAGAAAATCCTCCACCAAAGAATGTATATTTAGTTAGTTGAAGTGACTATAGTTCAGGTAATGTAGCTAAATACCCTTTGTACCTCTTCTGTATGAGTACCCCACTCTTCAATCTAGTAAGCATTGGATGTGTAGATGCAATTCCAGAAGAATCAGAATTAGATAATATATGATAAGTGATTGGAAGAATTGCTTGAAGTTCTGTATCTCAAGAACTTTGTCAAACAACACTTGATATGGTGACTTCATTTCTAGCACCTTACTTGGCATTCTATTAATTAAGAAAGTTGCATAAGAACAAGCATGAAACCAAAATGATGC